GGCAGACGGCGAGGAGGCTGTCCAGCTCGCTGGCGCCGGCGTGGCAGGCGACCACGTGCGCTTGAAGACCGGCGTTCGAGAGCCGCGGGGACTCGAACTCGTGTCCTGCGCTCGCGTCGGCGCCGGCCCAGTCGGCCCAGCGGACTCGGTGCAACTCGCACAGCGGACACGAGTAGAGCTGGCTGCGCGGTTGCCAGCCGCTGGCCGCTTCGCGTTGCCATTGCGACAGGAAGAAGACTCGGTTGTAGTCGGGCAAGTGGCAGGCGTCGATGTGGCGCTCCAGAGCGTCCAAGCCCCGTCGCGACCCGTTCGAGGCGCTCGAGTCTGCTGAACCGCAACAACTCGACGACGACGACGAGGAAGAAGATGATTTTGATGATTTTGATGACGATGATGATGATGATGATGACGACGTAGAGCGTGCCTTCATCGACGGAAGGGACGGCGAGGCGGCCCAAAAGCCGGCCTCGGGACGCGACTCGAAGGCGGGCTCGTGAGGCCAGGCGAAAGTGTGGCAGGCGGCGCATCTGCCGCGCTCGCGGGTCACCGCGTGGCGACAGACGAGGTGAACGGCGAGGTGGAGTTTGGAGGAGAAACGCGCCGACGCCTCGTGCCGACGCAGAGGGCGAGGCGTCGGCTCTCGCTTCACTCGCCGCGGCCCGGCTCGCGCGGGCCCGTGCCAACAGGGCGGACGGCCGCGACGCGGCAACGTCGACGTTCGCGCCGACGCCGGAGTCGACGTTGACGTCGACTCTGCAGCGCAAAAGAGGCAGAAGAACGGCAGACCTTGACGCACTCGCCGAAGTGGCGCCAAAACGCTGCTGAGGAAGGCGGCTTTCTGCAAGAGGCAGACGTGTCTGGTCGTCTCGGCTCGCGACAACCCGACGCCGCATCGACGGCAGAAGAGCCGCAGACCGCAACTCGAATCCGCTCCCGGCCGCGGGTCGGCGTTGACGTCGACATTGACATTGGAGTTGACGTTAGAGTTGACGTTGGAGTTGACGTTAGAGTTGACGTCGGAGTAGACGTTGGAGTAGACGTTGGAGTTGACGTTAGAG